AAAAAAAAAAAAGACGTTTACCCCTGCAGGATCTATAATAATGAAACACTGGAAATAATCTAAATGTCCATCCATAGGGGTTGATTAAAAAACATATACTACATCCATACACTGCAAATAGACCGCATGTCTCTAAATTCTCTGACATGGAGGACACAAAGATTGATAAGAGAATCACCTGCTAATGCTTCCCTAGTCACGGGGCTGGCCTTTCATGAAGTTGGTGGTTGCCTGGTAACATGTCAGACTCCGAGAAGCTCCCTGCCCACCTTTCTTGCGAACACCACTCCCGCTCACGCCTGACAGCTCCACACGGCCCTTCGATTGTTCTTTGCGGCCGTGCTCCACCACCCACACTGCAGTGCACTGCGGAGGCTGTGAGCAATGATCGCCAGCTGTAGGATAAAGGTACTGGATTCTCTCCTTTCCCAGGAGTTGAGAGGCAGCATGAGCATGGCAGCACCCAGCGTTTTAGCAGGAACCTGAAAGCTAATGTGTGCTGAGCACCTTCTGAGATTACAAGAACCGCACCTCAGGTCGGAGTGGGATTCCACAGCAAGCACCTAGGGCAAAAGTGGCTTAGGGTCAAGGTGAATCTGGACAATTTCTTAAATCATCCAGAAAATACCGTCTATGTGGAGTCATATAGAGGAATATATTCCTTCTTTTTTTTTTTTAGGTTAGTTAAGGGAAGCACTGGGAGTGGAGAAGGAACATATATGTTCTTTTATGCTAATATGTGTGTGTAAATGTAAAACATACTCCTTACATACATAATGAAAATTATATATAAAAAAGAGGTAGTCAGAGGTTTAATTTCATAGAAGAGGGAAAGTAGAAAAGTGGCCGAGAGCAGTGGCTCACGCCTATAATCCCAGCACTCTGGGAGGCCAAGGCAGGAGGATTGCCTGAGCTCACAGGTTCAAGACCAGCCTGAGCCAGAGTGAGACACTCCGGATAAAAATAGTCAGGTGTTGTGTTGGGTGCCTATAGTCCCAGCTACCCAGGAGGCTGAGGCAAGAGAATCACTTGGGCCCAGGAGTCTGAGGTTGCTGTGAGCTATGACCTCAGGGCACTCTACCCAGGGCGACAAAGTGACTCTATCTCAAAAAAAAAAAAAAACTAGAAAAAGAGCAAGTGTTGTTGAATTCACATAAGTTGATTGTGTTTATCAGGCGTCCTCAAACTACGGCTAGCGGGCCACATGCAGCCCACCGAGGACATTTATCCGGCCCACCAGGTATTTTTGCCGCTGCTGCCTGTCCTGCTTAGCAGCCAACTCATCC